TACCGCTTGAGCCACATCCCTACCCCCCTTGAGCCACATCCCTACCCCCCTTGAGCCACATCCCCACCCCCCACCCCCGTTAACTAATTTTATTGGTTGTCATTAAGCAAAATGACTTTAAAAAACAGAGAAATTTATCAAAGTGGTAAAACAAAAACAAAAATGCCCCAATGTAAAGAAATTGAGATACCAGAATCAAAGTTAAGAAAGTAAAAATTTAGAACGTTCACATCAAGGCACGTTATGAAATCTTAGGATACTACAGATGAAGAGAGATTATCCTACATGTTATTAGCTTCAAGTCTGCTTAACTACAGGAATATCAGAATTATCAGAGCAAACATTTTTATATTAGTATTTCAGTTACAAATAAAACTGAACTTGAAATTATGGGGTTTAATTTAGATTACTCAAGGATTCCAAGCCAAACTAACAAAAAACTGTCACGTCTTACCAAGTGTTGGGTCATATCAATAGCAATCGAGGCTACCTCTTGACTGTATTCACATATCATCTTCTGGATTACATTAGTAACATCATCATTTTCTGTCTCTCTAACAATGTGCAACAGCTCCTGCATAATAGGCCTCACATGTGGCTTCATATATTCCTTAGCTAATGCAACAAAACAAAATTAGTAAAAGTTAGCCATTCACAGATAGTAAAAGGAATTAACTTGGTAACAGGTCAAGTGACACAAGGTAATACCTAGATAAGGTTCTAGATACACTCATGCTCTATGATGAATAAGTTACAGAGTTGCATCAAATAATATTCACCACTATACCAACTTCAAGAATATAAAAGGGATAAGCAGTTCTACATAAGGACTGTCCTATTCCAAATGCTAATAGTTCCCACTGAAAAATTCTAACTACACATATTGTCATCAGCATAACTTGGAGAACATAAATATTACATCAGTCTTGATGTCAAGTATAAAAACTCATGTACATAAAGATTATCCCAACACTGATGGGGCCCACTCCCTACCCTAATCCATTTCTACCCCTAGATCTCTGGAAAATCCTCATACAAAATCCAGTCCTCCCATTAAAACATGTTAAATAAAGGTAAACAAGGTTCATGTTTTTCATAAAGCTGAATTTGTTTGTAAAGGTTTATTTGAACTTTGAACAGAACATTCTTCTAAACAAACAAATGAGATATTTGTTTTATCACTCCCTAGAAATAATACTTGCTAGAACTGGTAGAACCAAAGAATTCTAAAGTTGAAAAAAATCCTGAAGCCATCTAATCTAACCCCCTCAAGTTTAAATATGTGGAATCTAAGCCTCGACAGATCATATGTCTCACCCAGCTTTCCACGACAAGTTAGTAGCAAAATCAAAACTGAACCCAAGCCTCTCTTCTCAATCTACCTTACTGCCCAGCAATTATTAACTTGTTCCTCATGTAAAACTTTTCCAGAAACCACAATCAATAGGAACTCCTAAAAAAGGGACAAGAATAATCCCCTACAAAATTCTGAGGGAGCAAAAGCCTAGGAATCCAAACTCCTGGAACCTAAAGAACCCCCTTTATTAGGGAAGGAAGTGAATGAAAAATTACCCTTCTAAAAGGCATTTTTGGTTTTACCTTGTATCTGATTAGAAATTAATGACTGAAGAGCAAGGGCAGCTTCAACTTTGACTGGCATCTCCTTATCTTCAATCAGGCTCTTCTTTGCTAATTCAACTGCATTTCTGAGGTTGAGTTCATTGTGAAACTTCAAAGAACTAAATGCATGAAGCACCCAACATGACTATAGTATGAGCAGAAAGTAAACAGAAAGCTATTAGGATTATGGCACTGAGCAATAATGTCACATAAACAAGAACTTTTTTTTTTTTTGGTGGTGGTGGTGGTGCTAGGGATTGAATCCAAGGTCTCACACATGCTAGGCAGGCACTATAACTATAAGCTACACCTGCATCCCTCACACAAGAACTTCTTATTAAAATATCACATTTATTTCAATAATTTTCTTACAGACAAGGATTTTAAGGTATAAAATAGATACACAGAAAACTTACTCTAGCTCGAAGATATCCCAGGTTAGACAACAATAAAGGAAATACATGATTCTGTAGGAATAGCTCGATTTGGTCCTTGAATAAACTCTTCTGTTAGGAAACAGAAATTAAATTTCAATTTATCAGTGGCTTTTCTCATATGTAAGAATCACTTCCTGATAAAGCATGTTTATTATGACTTGCATTTATATACTTCTATTCACAATTTTGTAAAATCGTCTGACCTACATACTGCATATTTTAAAACACAATAATAGTACTTTAGATCAATTAGATATTGATGGATTTTTGTAGAAATAATAACACTAAAATCATTTCGTATCCTTTTTTATAGAGCAGTTTCATAAGGAAAAACTGACAAAAGTCAAATTTTCTCTTAATAAAGAAATAGGTTACAAAAAGAAGGATCTGTATCGTTGACTCAATCACCCAGAGGAAGTCATAATTTTTAAATTATCCATAACTTTCATACTATCTTATTAGTCTGTGCTTTGCAATTTTATTAAGTAAATTAAATTTTGATAATCTTAACCTTCAATAAAATCTCAGCTAGGGAACCAATCACATGCAGGGCTCCATCTTTCTTCCTAGGGTCAAAGTTCGGGTCTGTTAGGATTTGATAACAGAATGCCATCATTTTTGGCAACACCTAAAGAAATAGAAGAATCCATTTTAGTCTACAAGAACTTTCATTATCTTAATAAAGTATTAAATATGATATAAATTTTCAAAAATAAAAACCATTTTATTGTGTTTTATCAAATAACCTTAAGCTCAATAAGAAAGGTACAATTTATTTTTTAAAAAAAACTAACCAAAGTACTTCACTCTTTTCCCCTACTAGAACAAAGAATATTGTTAAACTGACAAGTTACAACTAATGATAATATTATTTTTGAATACTAGGGGTATATTAGAATATACTTTTTTTCCTTACTAGAGCAAAAATATTCTTAAACTAGGTTATAACTAATACAAGATAATTTTCAAATACAATGAGTACATTAAAAAGAATAATTATATACCTCTTTCCTTTTCTTTGCAGCAGTATATAAGAGAGTCTGGGCTGCTGTGGTAGGAGAAGCATAATCTTCAAAAATATCTAGGATTTCAAAAGGTCAAACCATATTAGTAAAAATGTAGTGACTTATGATACAGATTTTAAATCTGACCAACCAATAATTCAGACCAAAAAATAAAATAATCCACATAATGCCATTCATAGCATAAAAGAAGCTAAGAAGAACAGGTGCAGTAGTACACGCCTATAATCCCAGCAACTGTAGAGACTGAGGCAGGAGGAACATGAGTTTGACATCAGCCTCAGCAACTTAGTGAGATCCCATCTCAACAAAAAAGGGCTTAGGAGTGTAGCTCAGTGGTAAAACACCCTAGGGTTCAATCCCTGGTACCAAGTTGGGGAAAAAAAGGAGAAAATTAGCTAATCATTTTGTCTTGCCAAAGCAAACTAGAAAAACAAATACATAAGGAAGGGGAAGTAATAAATTCTACACATGAGTTTCAAAAAAACAAAGAAACAAAGCAGGTGGTAAATGTTTCATTTGCTCTTCCTGAACTTTGTCTCCAAGAGAAAAAGTACCTCCTCACTTACAAAGCCCTGTAAAAACACCAGAGTCTGATAATCTAATGCTCATACCAGTAAGTTTAACTCAGATAGCTAGAGATACCTGGCTGAACAGATGACAGCACAGCTTTGTCATAGCACATTTGGCATCTTTGTGTTAGTTCTAGTAGTTGATTTCGACATTTACTGAAGACATATTAAGGTCATGCACTAGTAGAGGAATACAGAGGAGGAAAGGATAAAAAATATAAAATAAGACAAATAAGACAAAGCTCCTGACTTCAGATAGCTTCTAACTTGTGGGAGAGACAGAAACACACAAATTAATATTTTACTATGTTAAGTGCTTAAAGGAGGATAAAGGGAAACAACTTAGGTAACCTACACAGTTCAACAGCTTCCAGGAAGATCAAATTGCAAAGAACCCCAGAAAATTGTGCACATGCAGTATGTCTAAAAGAAATCCTATTCCCTGTGGAATACTTAGTCATAGGGAAAGGAGACAGGTGAAATAGGGTACCCCCAAAACATGCAGAAATCTAAAGGCTGTCTCAGAGTTGAGAACAACCCAATCCATAGGTGAGAACAAAGAAAAAGATGGTCCCTGCAAATCCACGGGACACAGCCTAAGTAACAGATGGCTTCATGAGTATTTCAGCACTCCTAAGAGAGATACAGAGGATTTTCATCTCCCACACCCAAAGGCCTCAAATTCTCTTGTTCAAAAACACCAAACTCTCATGAGCTTCAGTTAAACAAACAAAGTGAAACTTTGGGAATTTAACAAAGTGATTTAAAAAAACTGCTTAAAATGTAAATATAGTTATATTGTTTTACATATCCAGGAACTATTAAGGAAAAAATATCTCAAGTACCAAATTTCATCCTTATATACTCATATGGATCTTCTTGCCAAAGCTCTTCATCCTCATCTTTATAGCACATCACAGAAAAAATCACATCTTCGGAGATATTCTAAGATGAGAAACAAACAAAACAACAAATGGGTATAGGTTATTCAAATTTGGGGAATACCAATAGTGTATTCATTGACAGTCTCTATGATCATATTCTTCCAATTATAGTATTTCTTCTTTTAAGCCTGCATTCACTATGGTGAAAGCAAGTAAGCAAAAGTCCCCAAGCAGACATAGGGGTTAGAATTACAGGTAAGATTGCTTTTGAACAGCGAGTAAAAGCACAGAGAAAGAAACAAATATAAACTACTCTTTGAAGCAACAACAGGGACAATGAAATTTTACTAACAAATTGACATTAAACAGACTTTGATTTCTTTAAGGAAGAAAAATGTCAAGTCAGGGATATATTTCTATTTCTTACGTTGAAATTCTTAACATTTCCACTTTGGTCCTAAATGTCCACTGATCAACAATATTATAATTTTCTTTTTTTTCTTCCACTTTCAAAAGACTAATTTTCAATCTCCAAACTGCATGTTTAGGGCTGGGAATATAGCTCAGTTGGTAGAGTGCTTGCCTTGCATGCACAAGGCCCTGGGTTCAATCCCCAGTACCCCCCCACACAAAAAAAATGGCATGTTTAGGGAGGTCCTAAACTAGTGGCCTCTCTTACACTGCTCTAACAACTACTTATACAAAACTGAATAATTCAAGAATGGATCCTTCTCTAAAACAGACCATATCTTATGCCATAAAGCAACTGTTACCAATACAAAGAATAAAGGTAATAACCTGCATCCTTTCAGATCATAATGGAAAAAATTAGAAATCAATGATAGAATGAAAAATAGAAGCTACTGTAATACCTGGAGACTAAATAATATGCTATTGAATGATGAATGCATAATAGCAGAAATCAGAGATGAAATTAAAAAATACTTAGAGGTAAATGAGAATAGTAATACAATGTATCAAAATCTCTGGGACACCATGAAGGCAGTACTAAGAGGAAAGTTCATTGCATTGAGCTCATTCATTAAAAGAATAATAAGTCAACATATAAATTACCTAACATTACAACTCAAAGCCACAGAAAAAGAACAATTCAACACCAAAAATAGAAGACAGGAAGTAACTAAAATCAGAGCAGAAAATAATGAAATTGAAACGAAAGAAACAATTGAAAAAACTGACAAAACAAAAAGTTGGTTCTTTGAAAAAATAAGTAAAATTGATAAACTCCTAGCCATACTAACAAAGAGAAAAAAAGAGAAAACTCAAATTACTAAACATATGAGGAAAAAAGAAATATCACAACAAACACAACTAAAATACAGAAGATAATTAGAAACTATTTTGAAATTTATACTCCAATAAAATAGAAAACTTAGAAGACACTGACAAATTTCTAGAGACCTACCCAAACTGAATCAGTAGAACATACACAATTTAAATCAAGGATCAATTACAAGTAATGAAATAGAAAATGCCAAGCTGGGGTTGTAGCTCAGTGGTAGAGCAATTGCCAAGCATGTGTGAGGCACTGGGTTCAATTCTCAGCACCACTTATAAATAAATAAATAATGAACGTTCATCAACCAAAAAAAAAAGAAATAGAAAATGCCATCAAAAGCCTACCAATCAAGAAAAGCCCAGGACAAAACAGATCCTCAGCTAAGTTCTACAAGATACTATATATTTTTTTTAAAGTACTTCTCAGTTCTCAATGGACGTCTATTTTGTTTATTTATATGTGGTGCTGAGGATAGAACCCAGTGCCTCACACATGCTAGGCAAGCACTCTGCCACTTAGCCACAATCCCAGCCCCAAGATACTATATTTTTAAAACTAGTAGTAACAGAATGCTAACCAAATCCTATGCTGGACACAAAGGAAAAGTGAAATAATTTATTTTCTTGTTACATACCAACTTATAGAACTTAAGAACTCATAGTTGGGAAGTGGTGATTCAGCTCCTAATGTTTTTGAATTAGCCAGGATTATTTATGTGTGAGTTATTTATTAATGGCCCATAATTTTTTATTCTCGTTTGTAGTTTAAGTAATAATGCTGAATTCTACCTTAAGTAAACAATTGGTATAAAACAGAAAATGTTAACTTCTACTGAAGAACTTAATCTAAAGAAAATAAAAAGCTTTTCTGCTCAGACCTATAAAAGAAAAACGGTGCACATATCAGATTTTATTTTCTATAAAATAATACGGTCTTAGTAGAGCCCAACTGAGTTTTCAAAATACTTTCTCACAAAATGCCTCATTTGATCCTAGTAACCTTTAGATAAGAAATGTTATGAGCCTCAACAGAAGAGAAACTGAGATAAATGAGATTTTAAACAAAGTCAACTTTCAATCCAAGTCTTCCAACTCTCAAAATGAAAGGCCTCGCTCTTTTCAAATGACTAAATTTTTCAAGTCCATAACAGATGTAAGATTGTGCTTATTAGAAGTTATTAATGGAAATAAAGAGATACTAAATATAAATACAGGATTAATAACACTAATTTTACCTGGGAAACCTAAGTTAACTGGAGAACGATTCTGGAGAGCTGCTCTATGACACTTACCTGTATGTGTGGCTTCATCTGCTTCCAGGTTACAGAATGAACAACCCCTTGGTTGAGATAGTTGAATGCTTGCTGAAGAATACGAGGGGCTACATACTCTTTCTGTCTATATTGATCTAAAATTTTTAGTAGTACCTATAGGAAAATAGGAAGAGATAATATGGGAAAACAACTTTAAAATTAAAAAAGATGAGGCACTTTAGGTATAACAAAATCCAAAATACATAGAGATTAAAAATAATAGATTTAGGAGGAAATCAATATTTTGTGAGAAAGCTCACATAGGCAGTTATAATTTTTAGATACATCCGCGTTACACTGAATCAAAGGCTGACTTGCTGTGACTCCCAGGCATTTGTCCTACTTTTAACCTGCAGAAATACTCAGACTAAGTCTAATTTCTATTCCACTGTTGGCTCTTTGAAATAAATTAAGACTTCTATTTTAAGAAAAATGCAGCTCAGTGGTAGAGCACCCTAGCTTCAATCCCCACTACCACAAAAATAATGTAATGAATTAGTATGTCTATAATTCACTTTTGAGTAGATGGAAATAATTCTCTGTTTTAAAAGTGAAGGCTTATTACCTGCTGAATTCCCACTGCATAGGTTTTCAAGAAGAATTCAGAAAATTCAAAATATTCTTTTGTGACATTTCCTGGGCTTCCATACCTTAAAATTCAAAAAAAAATTTCAAATACTATGAAGTTTAAAAACAAAGCAAGCTCACTAGCTTAAATATAGTCATTGAAAGATGCATTCTATTGTAACAAAACTAACACATTCCTCTTTTTCAGAAGGCACAAAATGAAATCATAAAGAGCTGGGTTCAAACTCTGAGCCATACTTAAAATTTCACATGTAAGCTTTTACTTTCTAAATCAAGAATTCCTACAGAGCTAATGGTAAGACTAAAAAATGCTTATCTGACATGTAATAATTTTCTTTCCATAAAATGTTTATCTGACATGTAATAAATTTCTCTCAATAAATGTTCTTTTTTAAAAATTTTTTAATTTGTTCTAATGATTTATACATTACAGTAGAATGCATTTTGACACACTGTACACAAATGAAGTACAACTTTTCATTCGTCTGGCTGTACATGGTGCAGTCACTCCAGTAGTGTAATCATACATGTATGTAGGGTAATAATGTTCATCTCATTACACCATCCTTCCCATCCCCACAGCCCTTTCCCTCCCCTCATTGCCCTCTGCACAATCCAAAGTTCCTTCATTCTTCCCTATCTCCCCAATAAATGCTCTTACAATTAAATTTTACTTTCTAATGGAGCTTGATAGCCATGCACCTTCTTACATAATTCCTGGATATTTCTAATGGACTGAATAATGTTATTTTTCCATGTTTTTCACAGAATAAAAGAAAAGAGCCAGAGAAGGCTCCCTACCTCATTATGATCTCAAAGCCAATGATCGCAATTAAGCCACTTTAAACCAAGGGTGACTTTTTGCCCTCTGTGGTTTTGAAGACATATAATTATAAACTGCAGAGCAAGAAGGGAAGTGTCCACTTTTATTATACTGACTGTATAAGCTAAATGTAATAAACAGAGAATTACCGTTCAAAGAGACGAGCTACAATATGCAGAGCCCACTTTTTACACTTCCACCATACTAGTTCTGGTCTATCATCTTCATCAATTTGCAGAGTCTCCTAAGAGGGCAAAAATCACGCAGATTAAATGTCTGCATAATAGAAGGATTTATGTGACTAACAAAAACAGAATAAGTCTTGGTATAGATTAAATCATATTAAATGTGTAGTTAGATTGCTCTACAAGCATTCTTTATAGATTGCTAGGTAGAAATTAAATAAGCAAATTTCATAGTCAATGCCATTGTTCACATTATCCACTATCTTCAATAGGGCCAAATAAGTAGACAACAAAATATAAACATCATGATCCCTTGATAAAACTCTTGAGATAGCAAAAAGCCTCTACACTTTAATCTGAGTGATGCTCACAAAATTTTACATACTAAATTTTGAGCATCTAATATATGTACATTAAACCTTTATGTTTAATGTACATATATTATATGTTTCAAATTAAAGAGAATAAAACTAGAGATATAGCTTAGTGGTAGAAAGTATACTTAGCATGTGTAAGACCTACGTTTATTCCTAGCACACACATACACAAAGATAAGAACAATGGAAAGAATATTGTACACTTTAAGACCATCTTAAATGTAAAAATACAAAAAGTTAAGCCAAATGTAGTAATCCCAGCAACTCAGGAAGTTAAGGCAGAAGTATCACAAGTTTGAGGCCAGCCTAGGCAACTTAGTGAGACCTCGTTTCAAAATTTAAAAAGGGGCTGGGGATGTGGCTCAAGCGGTAGCGCGCTCATCTGGCGTGCCTGTGGCCCGGGTTCGATCCTCAACACCACATACAAATAACGATGTTGTGTCCGCCAATAACTAAAAAATAAATATTAAAAAAATTCTCTCTCTCTCTCCCTCTATCACTCTCTCTTTAAAAAAAAATGGAAAAAAAAAAAAAGGGCTGGGGATGTGTCTCACTGTAAAGGACCCCTGAGTTCAACCCTAAGAACAGCAAAAGAAAAAATATATTGGGAAGTGAGGGATTAATTTGACAGATGCAGAAATACTCTCACTGCAGATCAAAAGAAGAGACATATGAAATAGGCAAACTTAGAATTCAGTGTATACTCATAATAGGCATCTTCAGCCACTGTTTATTAAAGTATAAATCAGGGTGCCCTTTCTGGAAATCATTCCGTAAGATGTATCAAAAGCCTAAACACTTTTAGAAATTTTTCTAGAGAAAATAATTGTGCACGTGCACAAAAATGTAACTGTGTTCTCATATTTAAAACACTAAAAGCATCTGACAAAAATGAAGTATAAAACATTCATAATCAAAAAAATATATATATATATTAAATTTTAGGCCAAAATGAACTTCAAAATAGTATATACAAGTACTATTTTTTATTCATAAACTATTGTATGTAGATGCAGAGAAAAAAGGCTAGAGGAATACCAAGTTTTAAAAATGGTTTTTACCATATTTAGTAGAATTAGCTATTTCATTATTTTTGCTTCTGAGCTTTCTAAAAGTGATTATGAATTATTTTATTAATTAATATTATTACAGTAGCAATTTTCTTTTTTCAAATAGCAGGATAGGATAATGAATTAGCCCAACACAAGCACTCCAAACCCAAGACTGCCCATTTTTTTCTCAGAACACCCCTATCTTACAGGAGGGACTGTCCTGTCAATAATAGTTCGGAAGATCTCCATCCATGTTGTCATGGTTTGGTTATTCACCAACTGAAGAGGCAATGCATACTGGAAAAACAGAACAACAACATAAAGAATTCCCATTTACCATAAAAACCAGCAATTTTATCTATTCTAAAAGGTTAAAATATGTAAAGTAGCCAATTTTTAAGCATTAAAATAGCAATTTCATATGATTCAACCTAAAATTAACTTGAATTAGATGTGTAAGTATATATCTAGGCTAGGGATATAGCTCAGTTGGTAGAGTGCTTGACTAGCATGCACAAGGCCCTGGGTTCAATACCCAGCACCAACAAAAAGAAAAAGTAAACTTTTAAATTATGTATAATTTTGAAAAAAAATTTAATTAAGCTCTTATTTATTCAGCAACACTATATCATTTCAAATGGACAAACGTAGTCTATAGATGGTAAAAGTAAATAAAACAGGACCTACATAACTGTGAGAAGCTTACCTATGGACCTATACTTTAACTAGAATTAATATTCCAGGTAAGTGGTTTTTACTGTTTATCCCTTTGCATGTCAAACTTTTAATTTCAACCACTTTAATGATAATCTTTACCTTACTGAACACTCATGAAACTATTTTTTAGTTACTCTCATCTACACTGTGACATAATAACCACAGTCCACTTTGAAGCAGGCACTTGTCTTCCTGCTACATTGTGAGCTGTAGGAGAGGAGGGACAGTGCCTCTATGTTTATTCCAAAATGTGCTAAGGACATAGTAAGAAAGATAGTCATTGCCCTCACAAGCTTACAGTCTAATTGGAAAAAACACACACACACACACACACACACACACACACACACACACAAAAGTGGTAAAGATAAAGGTGGAGGGATGAAGAGTTTTATAGGCTACATTCAGTTCACACTTTATTCAAAATGCCCTGGGGATGCATTCAGACTTGAATTAGGGTGCAGAGGAGGACCAGGCTGAGAGTTAAGCAAAGAATGGTGATTTCTCTGGAATGTATGAAATATCCAAGTACCCATGCAAATAAATGCTACTTAGACAAAATCAATCTCATTGTACAGACTTTTAAAAAATATTCCTCTGCCTCTTTCCATACTGTCAGTCACTTTTTAGTTACATTATTATTGCAACTGTGTCCCTCAATGCTTTGAAATTTTTTGCTTTCAAAAGAACATATTATATTAGTACATTAACAGATTACGAAAATGGTTAAAAGTGTTAAGGGTATTTACCTATTTTTTAGGTTTTTAGCATGTATAGGTTGAGAGAAAAAAATTTAGATTTTGTCTCATTGGGCAAATAACAATAAGCCTTAGAAAAAATGATTTGGTCAGTCTTTATCTTACTGCTCAATTCCTAGCTATGTTTCTCCCAATAAAAAAGTCAAGTCTGGTCCTAAACAAAAGGGTTATTACCAAATCTAATGGCAAAACGTCTCACTGAACAAAAAATTTGCCTCAAAGTAAAGTGATCCTCCTGAGGAAGATTTCTAAACAGTGCTTCGATAAGTAGAGGCATCATGCATCTTCCTTCCCTATTCTATTAAAAAAAAAAAAAAAAAGGTAAAGGAATATACTTTTCTAATATTCTAGTTCTTCTCTCTTCTCAGATTTGCCTCCTTTTCTTTCCTCTCTCAATCCCTCAAAAGGCTGATCTGAAAAACAAATGTCTGGCTCAGACTGTCTTTCGTAAAAGTTTAAAAGATGTAAGGCTGAGGGTATAGCTAAGTGGTAGAGTGCTTGCCTGGCATACCCAAGGTCCTAGGTTCAATTGCCAGTAATACCCCCTACACAGACAGTTTTAAAGATGAGACTTCAATATAACTATAAATCTATATTGAAATGAAATGTTCTGAAACAGTGCCAAGAACAAACTGTCCTGCCTCTCAAGTCAACAAAACTATCCTAGTATCATGAGGAATTTAACTAAAAACATGTATTAGAGCTTCAATTCACTAATCATACATTATTTAGGGTGACAACAAGGATTCTTCCCCCAACCAGACCTCATTTACTCAAGCCTTTCAAAGATTTATTGTTAAATACTTTTATATTTTATACACATTACATGTCTGTCTTATAATTTTTTTTCATTCCCACATTAGTAGCCCTTATAGCTTTCAGATATGAAAAAAGAAAATTTTGAATCAAGAAAAATGAGCCACCAAATCTTGGTTAGCTTTAGGTTGGTGGAAGACAGAGAAATTATCATAAATATGATTTTCCAATAAAAGGACGACTCTATTCTTATTTTCCTTACTCTTTTCTTATAATCATAACTATGCTTTGGACAGAAATGTCTACTAAAAGTTTCGGGGAAAGTAATGTGTTGGTTCTTACTGACCTGGAGCTTCAGACACTGGAATGGAAGCACAGACACTGAATCTCACCTCTGTTAACTTCTGTGATCCTGTTTCTCATATTTCTTTTTAAAAGAAATATATATGAAAATATATAATAATTTTTAATAATAACTGACTCTGAGCATTTTCCACACATGAGGAAGAAATACAAGACCTCATTTTTGGCTTCTGCAGTAGAAACTTACCTGAACAAGAGCATAAAAGATTTTGAGAATCTGTTTCTGTAGTAATACAGAATAATGGGAGGAATCAGGAAGGAGCTGCATGATTTGCTGCTGAATACGTGGCAAAAATATCTGCATCGCTGCTATAAGAGGTTCTCTTTCTTCTGCTTTCTTATATCTACATGAGGAAAGACAAAAAGAATGAAAAATAATGTCCCCTCTTCCCCAAAGAACTATAAACAATGAATGAAAAATATTTGTTAACAACATAAAACAAACCCCTCCCCAAAAAATTTTTTTGGCTTACACTTTCTGTTCAGATTGTTGGAATAAACTTGGGGAGTATGTCCCTGTTCTAAGCAAAATACCTAAAATCTTTCTAAAAAAAATTTAGGCTAATTTTTAATAAAAGCATCCAAGACTAATGCAGCTTTCCTAAATTTTTCTAGTATCTATAGTCATTTTTATTAAATCACAATTCTATAAAATACAAGTTGAAAAGCTAGTTTATATAGGAACTCATAATGTGGGGAAATTTTTTCTTATTATCCTAAATTGAGAAGTAAAAATAACTTACAAATTTAGCTGCTTTTAGATCACTTTAATTGCTAAAAATCTAAAATATTCTGTAAAAATTGTACAAATAAGAGTCTGCACTAATTTCATGAGTCAGCCATGGGCTATGTGTGTGAGCTATGAGCATTTGAGCGCTGGAGGGGACTGGACTGATGCTGTTGTTAATGGGTTGTGTGACATATGTGTCCTTTTCACTTGCTTCGCCTTTGATCCCACACAGCACCTGACATGTGTGTGGCCTTCCAAGATGTCAATCTGCTGACCATAAGACATCACCAAGCAACCTCCTGAAACCCAATCCCATACCTTATTTGGATTGAACTTTCTTGACTGTCTTCCCCTCAATAAACAGGATGGTCTCAGGAGTACTCTCTTTCTTTTGTCTGCCTCTATTGCTTCCTCTGTGGGAGCTGGGGCCAAGAAGCAATCAGAAAAACATACTTTCTGTGTCTGTGGGATTATTCAGTGCCAAACCAATTTACCTGGAGTGACCCTGACTGATTTAGTTGTGTGTTGAGGCACATTAAATATTTTAAAAGGGAAATAAGATTTTGAATGCAAAAGCAGAAATCCTCTTTTAAACCAGAAAATACTATTAAATGTGACCCTAGTCCTCTACCTCTCAAACAACTTTTATGGGAGAAGAATATCCCCAGCAAAGAAACTTTAACATTTTCATTCTTACATCCAGAAAGGTATCTGATTTGACTTATTTCATAATATGCTCCTGAGAAGACAAATGTTAAGGTAAAACATTTAGAGTCTCCAAGTAAAACTGTTAATAAATATTTGAGAAGCACTGCATATTATATCTGCATTAGAAATTAGCAATATACATTAAAAGACTAAAGTGGCTTTGAATAACTGCAGTAAATTAACATGCTTAACTATATTTAACCCAACATTTTCCAAATTAACCTGGTTTTACAGAACACCCACAGCAGACTCTCTACGCAAATTAATCCCAAAGTGACACAAGACTATTCTCTTTAGCGAAGAGAAATCAACTTACTCATAAGTCTTCACTAGTTGGTAAAGACATAACAAACTGCCAAGCCAGCTTCCACTGTTCTGCGACTGTAAGTAAAAGTTTATCTTGTCCACTACCGCTGGCCAGTGACCAGGAAAATCATGCTTAATGATGACACGGAGACACATTGTTAACTGGATTCTGTAAGGTGAGAGGGAAAAAGGTAAAAAATACAAGTAGTTAGAAGTATAATGTATCAAGGACCTCTAATATTTTACATAAAAGTTCTCCAGCTCCTATTTGCCCATTATGTAGTCACAGTCACACATAACTTACCACCATGGATAACGTTATGAAAAATGCATAAATTAGCAAATTCACAGCTTTGGGAATAACACAGAGTGAACTTTTTATAAACTTAAGATGGCTATATCACTAGATAATGTAATTTTATGGGACCTATCATATATACGGTTGACCAAAATGCTGTAATGTGGCATGAGGCTACATTATATGTGGAGTAGGAAGGAAAACAGTAGTCCTTTAAAAAAAAAAAAAAATTCCTGGGGCTGGGGTTGTGGCTCAGTGGTAGAGTGCTCATCTAGCATGCACAAGGCACTGGGTTCGATCCTCAGCACCACATAAATGTAAAATAAAGATACTGTGTCCACCTAAAACAAAAAAAATAATAATAAATAAAAGA